GTGATTGGCTGTTCTACTCACTCTCTGATTGGCCTGCATCAGCTTAGAAAGGAAATAAAACAGCTGATCTGGAGGGAAAAGATTCATTCACCTTCTGAATCACTTTTGGTCTTTGTCTGAAATCAAACATCTGGATCAGTAGCCAGAGGGAGTAAGTGATTTCTGTCAGGGAATTGTCAGAAAAGTACTTCTATAGATGATATTATTATTATTGTTATAATTATTAGTATTATTATTTTGATTTATGGATCGCCCAACCCCACGAATGGGCGCTGGACGATTTACAACTTTAAACAGATTAAAAACAGATAAAATATAATAATCCTGATAAAATTAACACAGTAATTAATAAATTAATCAGATTCAGATGACAATCAACCCCTTTTGGCAGTTGCAGGGCTCTTTGCGCAACACTGTATGGAGGGGAACTACAGAGGACAGCTTCCATTCTCCTGCTCACCTCCCTCTTGGGAACAGAAAAGGATGCTCTTGACTGCTGCTGGCTTGGCTGAGGTGGTGCCTGGCTGCACTCTCTTGGGACAATTTCGACAAATGTGTGCTGAGCTCAGGCTTCACAACTGGAGAGGTGGGCTTGATGGGGTTTGAAGCCTTCGCTCATTGAGGTGCTCGCTCTGTGTGCAGCCTTTACATTTCCTCCCCCCTCCTTTGCTTTCCACTCCCCCTTCTCTTGAGCTTGTCAGCATCTCTTGCCACCTCTGACAGGCTTTGGTGGCCTCTCCCCTCCACCTTTTCATGTAGATGTCTGGGCAAAAGTACAGTTTTCCCCAAGGCTAGCAGATTCGTAACTGAGTGCAGATCCAGGGCCCCAGAGCCTACTAGCTATCATTTCAGGAGCCACTGGGTACAAATCTCAAAATGAGCAAACACTCCCTGCTTTTCCCTTCCCATCTGGTACATCATTTACCTACACAGTTCTGGCAAGAGTCCAAAGCATTTGCAGGCCCTCTCCAGGAATAGGTCAAAATCAGCCATTTCCCCTTGACTCAACTTCCCCAGCAAATCTAGCAACTTCCCACAAACCTGTGGTCTTGAGGTTCCCAAGAAATCTGCATGGAGAATGTTCTGTTCCACATAAGCATTCTCAAAGCTCACTAGGAACAGCTTCAAATTCTCAGTGTCAGGATACCATGGTATAAAATCACAGTTCTTTGAGACTATCTCGCAGAGCGAAATGTAGACCTGGCTTGTGTGACAGAGACTTGGGTGAGGGAGGGCGAAACGCCCTGACCCAGCTTACCCCACCTGGGTTCTCAGTCCTCCACCAGTCTCAGACTAATGGGCGGGGTAGTGGTGGTGGCATTGCTTATCCGAGAATCCTTCTTCAAGGTGCTCCCCGCACCAAAAATAGCTGGCATTGAATGTGTTGGCATGGCATGGGAAGCTGAGGAGAGTTTGGCTGTTTGGTTGGTGTACTGACTGCCTAACGCACCACCAAACAGCCTGCCTGACCTGTTGGATGTTGTACCAGGCTGGACTCTGGAATACCCCAGGCTGTTGGTCCTGGGGAACTTCAATGTCCATGCCAATGATGCATCGTCCTCTCAGGCTAGAGACCTGGTGTCATCCATGGAGGCACTGGGACTCTCCCAATTTATATCAACTCCCACACGCCAAGCAGGCCACACGCTGGATCTGATTTTTGGGATGGGGATAAATGTTGATCTGGAAGCTGTAGAGACAGTACCATGGTCAGATCATTATGTCTTGAAGGCCCAGTTGGGCATACCAAATCCTCCTTGTTTAGGCGTCGAGCGAATTTATGCTCAACCGTGGAGCTTAATGGACCCTAAGTGGCTTCAGGATGCTCTGCGGGATCCAAGGCCCCCTGGTGGCTCATTAGATGATCTAGTGGAGGACTAACATTGCTGGTTCTCCCAAGCCATTGATGAGATCACCCCCCAGTGCCCTCTTTGCTCTCGAGCCAAACTAGCTTTGTTGAGGATGAAACAGATCTAAGACGGTTAGAGCGAAGGTGGTGGTGTGCTCAACAAGAACATCTTATAAAACATTTATAAAAACCTATGAGATGGCAGTGAAGACTGTGAAGAAAGATTTCTACGCGGCCTCCATTGCGTCTGCAAGCTCTCGTCCGGCCCAATTATTTAGAACCATTAACAAAATTGCCACAAGGCAAATAAAATAGTAGTGAATTGGCTACTGGCTGTGTGGCAATTGTGAGCTATTTTGCAGATAAAATCATGTTGCTCCACCAGACCTCCCAACCACAATTGAAACAGTAAGAGAACTGGAAGCTTCTTGCCTGTCTTCTGGTCCTTTATTGGACCATTTTGCCCAACTCTCCTTGGAAATGTCAACAGGATCCTGGCAGCTGTTAGGCCTACCATTTGCCCCCTTGACTCATGCCTGTCCTGGCTGATCAAGGCATGTGGGGATGATGTGCGGGACCCCCTGGAGGAGATCATCAACTTGTCCCTTTCAATGGGGACCTTCCCAGTGGGGTTGAAGGAGGCAGCGGTACGTCCACTCCTGAAGAAACCATCTTTTAGACCCTGCAGTTTTGTCCAACTACCATCTAATATCTAACTTGCCCTTTTTGGGTAAGGTGACTGAGAGGACAGTGGCCGAACAAATTCAGGCTTTCCTGGAGGAAGCATCTGTTCTGGATCTATTCCAGTCCAACTTTTGCCCTGGTCATGGGACAGAGACGGCATTGGTTGACCTCACAGATGACCTCCAGAGACAGCTGGATTGGGGCAGGTCAGCGCTGTTGCTGCTTTTAGATCTGACAGCAGCATTTGACACAGTCGATTACAATCTGTTGACCCACCGCCTCGCTGACATAGGAGTTTAGGGGGCTGCCTTGCAATGGTTTTCCTCCTTTCTTCGTGGTCGGGGACAGAGGGTAGCACTTGGTGAGAGGGTCTCCCATTGGTACCCACTTGAATGTGGTGTGCCGCAGGGGGCGATCCTCTCACCAATACTATTCAACATTTATATGTGCCCCCTCACCCAGCTAGCATGGGGGTATGGGCTGGATTGTCATCAGTATGCTGATGACACCCAGCTCTATCTGTTGATGGATGACCGGCTGGACATTTGTGTGGTGCATAAAAGCAGAAACCTCCACGCTCCAGCTGTGCATTCCTTTTGCAAGTGTGCTTGTGTCCTGGACATCCTGGTACCATTCCTAGCCAAACATCTGTCTCTGTGCACCCTTGCTCTACTACTTTGCAGAGAAGTGCGCTCCCTCAATTTGCAAGCTGTGTCAAATTCTCAATACAATCCTATACCACTGCCAATCAGGCAATAACCTGATCCTCCACTCCCCCTCCTCTCCTTGCTCATGTGTATATGAAAGGTGGTGGGGATCAGTATGAGAGGGCTTGCCTCACTTGCCTCCCATATCTCTTGCCTTTCTTTGGTAGCTGACGCCATTCAGGCTCTGAACTTTCTTTCTCTATCAGTGGCTTGAGGCGCAGGTGTGTGTGTGTGTGAAATGCTTCCTACCCCACCCCACCCCGGCCAATGTCTGTAGCCCAGTCAGGACTTTCTAGTCTATGTGTGAATGAGCAGTCAGTTGCACTGGACGAGACCTCTGACCACAGTCTGAGACCTTTAAAAAGGAAAATATTTTTAAATTTTTTTTGTTCATTGCTTCTAGTCCTGTTTTGAAATTATGTACTAAACTACACTGAAATACATTTTTTTAAAAAAGGAAAATATTTTTATTTACTAAAATAAAACTTCAATTCACTACAGCACAGGGCACTGGATATCTATATGAAAGCACGATAGGGTATCATATACTGCAACTGTGTGGATTCCATCTTGGACTCATGACATTAGTATTGATTGAGCACCGTCGTTTTTAAGTGTCGGATGTTTCATTATGTATTTTGTGTCTTACGCTTACTATGTATTATATGTTTTTACTATGGCATGGTTAATTACCTTGCCCGCGTTAGCCGCCCTGAGCCCATTGGGGAGGGCGGGATACAAATGTGAAAAATAAATAAATAAAAATAAATATTATAGAACTAAGAAAAGAAATTAAAAAGTGAGGCTACTTAAGTTGTACAGTCACTGGTGTTACCTTGATATGCCCTTCTGTAGAATGGACTCAAACCCTCTGGAACTTTAAAAAAAGAGAGGTTGGTCTCCTCTGCCCCTCTGCTCTTGGCTTGTGTGCCTCTTAACAGTGTGTCCAGACTCCAGCCCTTCTGGATGGGCTCCTTGAGAGCTGAGGGGGCACTGCCAATAGGCATTTCTAGGTGGCACCACAAGGTGATACTATTTGCCAGGGAGTTACTTGGGAGTTTTTTGTTGTTGTTGTTCAGTTGCACAGTCGAGTCCGACTCTCGTAATGTTATGAATTATTATTTATAGGCCACAAGGAAAGATGGGCTGTTAATATTATAATAAATAAATACATATCCAGGCAAGAAAATGAATTCAGAAGTATTTGTTCACTACTGCATTACCACTACGCAAAGTAGTTCATTCATCTTTGCAGTAGTTTTGTAGGATGAGGATGGACTGTGAGTTGCCTTGTTTGTTTTCTCACGGGTAATTGTGGACCACAGCTCGGCCACTGAGCAAACAAACTAGGTAAATAAAGTCAGAATAATCTCTTCTCTGCAGTTTCTCTGGTGCCAAGAGGACTGGTGTCAGTTTGTGATATTACCACGTATAAGAACCAACATGGAGTCTGATCTACATCCTGATCTACTTGAAGAAAAAATGAAATAATCGCAGACACATGTGATTATTCTAACCATTTTACAGAAAGAAAACTGAGGCTAAGAAAGCAGTCTGTCCACGCCAAGTCAGTGCATCCTCAGCGAAGCTGGAATCTGAATACAGGCGTACCATGTCCAAATAATTCACACTAGCCATATTATCTCCGTAGACTCTGAATTCTAGTCACCTTTCTTTACACCACTGATCTCCAGAAACACTTGTGAAGCGTGGCAGAAGGATGTAAAAGTATTAAGAATGAACCCATATTATTGGATTACCTCCACTGCTGTGTGCCAGTTTCAAAGCTTCCAGAGAAATAGCTGGGGTTACTTCAAGTTGACAGACCATTACTTTGGCTTGACAGATGACCGGAGCAGCCCTCTTTAAGTCTTCAGAGTCCAGAAGTAAATTTGCTCCCGCAACAATGACAATAAAGTTCTGCCCTAAAAAGATAATTTCTAAATTATTAACTCTAAACAGGTTAAACCTCTTCTCTGCCACCTAAAAGACAGAGCAAAGGGGCAGCCTCCTTCCACTCTCTTGTGCAGCTCCCTTTTACTTCAGTGGGGTGTGCCAGGGATAACGTCGTGCAAGATGGTTCCCTAACAGATTTATTGTGGTTTGACTTTAATTTTTGCCAGAAAGGGGAGAAAGAACAAGCCTGCTTCTATCAGCCTGCCTGGCCAGCTATCACCTGGCCTTTCCCTCTCAGACTCCTTTAAACAACCAGCCATTCTGCAAAAGGAGAGAGAGGGAAATCCCATTCCCACAACCTGCTTTTACCAATTTTGTATTTGTGATTTGTACGTTAGCTGCCTTGAATTTTTCTTTTGATGAACAGATGTACTCATTGCAATGCTATCTCGGTAGTATTCATGATACCCCCCCCCCCTTACAGAGTGCAACCACAGTCAGGGGAAAGCAGAGGTGTGGCTTGGAAGGAACTCATCTTGTCTTTGGTATCTATCTGCTCCTGAGTGAGTGCCGTCACTAAGATGTGCTGCTCATGTCCTCACCTCTGCTATGCTTGACCCCAGGAAACAAATTTCCTCATATGGAGGCAGGTAGTTTTGCCAACTTCCAGGTAGTAGCTGGAGTTCTTCCAGAATTACAACTGATCTCCAGACTGGAGAGATCAGCCCCTCCTGGTAGTTTTCCTGCTGAGCTCCCTCTCCTCTCCCAAATTCTACCCTCCCCAAATCTCTGGGAATTTCCCAAGCTGGAGCTGGCTACTTAGGAGTGCCTGATCTACTTCTGCTACCAGCTGGCTGGAGCCATTTCCGAGGCTGTGACAGCTGAGAGGCTATTAGTGTGGTTACTGTGATAATGGATAGGGTGGTGTATCCTGCTCACACATTCCCACTGGAGCTTCCCAAACACTGGCTCTCTCTTTCTTGCCTTCTCCAGGGGAGATGCTCCGGTGTCCTCAGAGAGGCAGTAGAAGATGTGAGAAGCGTCTTTTTCCAGCTGAGATTGGCTGACCATTCCTACAGAAAGCTGATTTGACCACATTCATACATGCTGTAGTATCCAGATTAGACTAATTCAAGAGGGGACCCACAAAATCATCTCATCTCCCCCATTTCCACTTTCTGTTATTTGAAACCCCCCATAGCCTCTCCCCTTTTACTGCTTCCTTCTTGCCTTCCCACCAACCAGCCAACCTACCAACCTACCTTTATCTGCCCCGTCTTCAGTTTTCCTTCCGTCACTCCCCCTGGTAGCCTCTATTGGGGGAAACTATGGCTGAGTTGTGCAGTACTGACCGCCAGACCTGGCCAGTTGCATGGTGGAGAACCCACAATGACTTGCACTTTCCCCTGTACTCTCCTGCCCAAATTATTTCCTCTTCCCCTCCTTCTGGAAAGCTCCTGTGATGGAAGGACAGGGGAAAGGTGCCTTTCCTTGCTGGGAAACTCCCTTAGACTCAGGGTTCCCTGGAAAGAATCTGGTAAGGGGGGAGGGGTGTTATGTCTTAAGTTAATAAAGCAATGTTTAGCTTAAGCATAAGTTCTAGTAAAACAAAGCAGTGGTTGAATTAAAGAACTGGCCAATCAGAGAAGCATATGTTTTTGGCAGAAACCACTCTCATAGGTTCAAAGCCCTGTATTTCTATTGGTTGTTATCTGTTGATGGGTGTGGTTTATCCCGTTCAAATCGTATATAAGCCAGTCTGGTTACATGCATTTTTGTCTTGTGTTGTTATGAGCTGAATAAACATGAATCACTTGTTTAAGAGCTGCCTCGATCTCAGTTCATAATACCCACAAAGGGCCAAATAACAGTTTTAGAGGAAAATTTAGCCATTTAAAACTTGTTTTAGTGGCACCAGATCTAGTTCCCCCACCCTTTTGAGGTGTGTTCTGGCACTCGAAAAGGCATGTGCGGAGGGGAAACAAGGTTGCCTGGTGCCATCACAGCTAGATTGTCCTCTAAAATGGTGTTGGCAGATACAGGTTGGACATATGGCTACTGTAACATATACTTTGGTCTAAGAAGGGTTCCTTCTAGCACAGTACTAAAGGAATAAAGAAATAACGGTATAATCTTGGAGAATACCTTACGGTATGGTTTTACCTGGAAGTGATGTAATGAGAACAGGTTTTTTTTTAAAACAAATTTTTGCCACTGGCTACTGGTGGGCCACACTCACTGGGGATGGGAGATCTTTTGCCACGAGCAAGCATTTGGCAAGCCTACCCAGTGCTTGCTGGTAGGCATGGCCCCAGTGAGCCCTTGCTCAAAGGCCAAAAAAGGCCTGGAAAGAGCCCTGTCCCCTCTCCCTGCCTTTTACTGACCAAGACCAAGGCTAGAAGGCTGGTCATTCAGTTGTAGTTGCCTAGCAACAGCTGCCAAAACAACTAGGGCTGCCAAATCCCCCCGGGGGCCGGATTTCCCCTCGCTTTGGAGGCCCGATTTCCGCCCCCGTGGAATTGGGCCTCGGGGGAAACCCCACCCACGCGTGCACGTCACAGGAAAGTGACGTCATGACACCGGGCACGCTGGGGGTGGGGCACAGCCATTTGAGGGGAAAACATAGAGTTTTCCCCTCAAATGGCTGTGGCCCCGCCCCCAGCGTGCCCGGCGTCATGACGTCACTTCCCTGTGACGTACATGCGGTGTGCGCGCACTTTGCGCGCGCGCACATGCCGGGAGCCTCCACAAAGTTCCCCACCGGAGAGGTAAGTCGACTTGGCAACCCTAAAAACAACCACTGAGTTTCATAAGGTACAGGTATTGCTTCTTTTATTGGGAAGTTGAACCCTCCCCCAAATATACTTTTTCAGATTTCATATTTTTCTGTAAGTCTGGGGCTTTTTCAGCTCTAGAGAAAGATCTGTCTTGTCTGTTCATGGCTCCAGTCTCTGGATTTAGGTATCCATAGATTTGGCCATGTTGAGAATTAGATATATTCATAAGTGAGGGACCCACAAGGACTTGCAGGAGGCATCTCATTTCCCCTCCCAAAGTAATTCCTCTTTCCCTTCCATGACGCCCCCCATAACCTCTCCCCCTTTCCTGATTCTTTCTTTCCTTCCCAGCCACCAGCCAACCCACATTTATCTATCCCATCTTCAATTTTCCCCTCCTTCTCTCCCCCTGGCAGCCTCCACCTGGAAAAACTACTACCCAGTTGCCCTTTCCAGGTGCTGGACTGGGCCCATATGTATGATGGGCTAACCATACATAAGTGTGGAGTGTACCTCACTTTCCCTTATATCTCTCTCCCTGCGCTGTTTCCCCTTTCCCTCTCCTGGCACCCTCTGTATCCTCGACATTCCCTGTTTCCTTCTCTCCTTTCCACCCACTAACCTACCTTTTATCTGCCACCCCATCTTCTGCTGTGTTTTTTATTTACTTCACTTATAACCAACCCGGAAACTGTAACCACTATACCACACTGGCTTTTACAAGGTGGCTGCTGTTGAACAGTAACAAGCAGCTAGGCCTGGTTATGCAAGCTGCACAGTAGCAAGTCTCTTAGTGGCTGCTGCCAGGCTTGTCCTCAAAGGCCAACATAGCCTTGGAAAGGGCCCTGCCCCCTTCCCCGGCCTTCTATTGATAAAAGACAAGACTTGAAGGCTGGCAATGCTGTTATGGTTGCTTAGGAATTCTCACAATGACCACTGCAGAGCACATTTGTTTCTTAAAGCTACAGGCACGGTTTCTATTATTTTGGGTTTTTTAAACACCCAATGTATTTTCTATTTTCTGCAAGCCTGGGGCTTTTTCAGGTTTGCAGAAATATCTCTCTTGTCTTAAATCTCTATATTTAAGTATCCAATCTCTGGATTTAAGCATCAGATGGGGCCATGTTGAGAATTAGGTACATTGATTGGTGTTTGGCCTGCAATCTATCTACACTGATTTAGAGATGTTAAATTGTGGATCTGTCTCTCTTTCTCTCTCAGTATTGAACACAAGAGACTGAGCTCTGGTTCTCTCTCTTTTTTTTAATCCTGTGGGTAAATCCAGATCTGTTTGCTGTGATGAGAACAGACAAGCCCAGTAAAGTGCCCTTGTCCACTCTAACCATGCACAAAAATTATTCCAGTATAAGATATCACTATACAAAGATATGACAGTTTCTGTACCATGGTTTTCCTGGAACTAGTCAGCAATTAAATGAGTACCTGAATAATTTAGACTTCCTTGACATAGAATTCCATCAGTGGTATTCACATATCTGATATACATTCCACAAGAAGCCAAACAAGAAATGCTGTGGGAACATTCAGCACACAGTACTGAACAACACAATGACTGCATGATGATTATTTAAAAACTTAAAAACACGCTACAGCCTTGACCTGAATCTTGCAGGACAATGGTGTTGTGTCCTTACTAGTCTGACTAGGCTCCCATTCAGACAAGCCATTAAAAGATCAGACTCCATGATACAGCCAGTCAAACACACAGCACACTCTTTATGTCCCAGCAGATTTAGGGCAATGCCTAAGCGAGGATGGAAGTAACCTGCTTTCACAATCAAGGTAGCAAGAAGTGTCCAAACTAGAAATTACAATTACTAGAACTCACTCCAGGGCACAGATCTCCTGTTTTTAAACCATACGTGCTTTTGGCATGCACTGCAAATAGGACTGCATTGAAGGGTAGTGTAAGAAATATTGCAGCATTTTTTAAAATTTGTTTTAGCATGAACCAAAAGCTATTTATCAAATGCATGAAAGGGAGAATGTATCAAAATATAATAGCTAGAACATACTGGGCTGATGAGATATCAGACTATAGGGGGCAAAAGGCAGGCAAATATCCCCTATCTTGACAGCTGGTGCTACAAATAAATACAATAACCTAATCACTGGCAGTCTTGACCAACCAAGGAAGCCTGTGTTGTGCCATATTTTCAAACCATGAAGTAAAACAAGAGTAAACTGGCTACGATTTTCAGGTGTCACATAATCTGGAACGCCAAAGCATT